AAGAGGGTGTAGATTGGGGGAATCTAAATTTTATCAAAATATATTGCATGAAATTCACAAAAACCAATTAAAATTTTGGTAAGTTTTCAATTGACAAATAATGTATATATTTATGAGGTACAATGTAATGTTTCCAAACAGGTATACATTGCAAAATGTTCAGACCTGGCTAATAAAAATATCCATCTGTAGACAGAGAGATTGATTTTGATTGACCTGCCCTCCCTCCTCAGGTGATAATATTCTCTTCAATTCCACTTCCTACTAAATGTGTCCTGTCTTGCTAAAAGCAATCCTGTACTCAGACTACTTTCTTACTGCCATTTACCCAGAGGGAGACACTAAAGGGCACTTTTACTCATGTTCTTGACTACCTTCCTAAGAATAACAAATACAACAGAAGGACTGGGAACTTTTAGAAAGAACCAGAACAACTGCAATATAACAGAGCAATTAAAAAACTTAAGAAACACAAAAAAATGAAATGGAATAATCCACATTCGAACTGCTGCCACTGTGAGAAATTTTCTCCTTTGCCTGTAAACATATTCATTAGGTATAAAAGAGCAATTAGAATTTTTTCACAATTACTAAGTTCTCTAGAGAAAAGCCAGTTTTCTGGCAGCCAATGATGTACTACTATAGGAATATGAATCACCTACAAGTGATATTATCCTTTTTCTTATAATAAAAATGATAGAAGTTTTAATGGAAATATTACAGAAATATTTTAGAACACAAAATAGCAAATTCACATCTCAGAAATAAGTGTCAATACCAGGGCTTAATTACCAGAAGCCTTCCCAGACTCTTACTTGGGAACGTAAACATACTATTTTAAGTTTTTTAAAAATGGGATCATATGGGGCCAGGTGTGGTGACACAGCACTCTGGAGGCAGACGCAGGCGGATCTCTGTGAGTTCAAGGCCAGCTGGGGCTACAGGGAGACCCTGTCTCAAAAAGATCAAGAAAAAAAAAAAAAAAAAAGGATTATACATTATACTAGTATGTCATGTGGTGATCTCCTTTTACAATAAATTATGGCCACTTTTTAACTAATAGTCATTTGAATGAGATATAAAATCTTTTTTAAAAAATATTCTATTATTTTCATTTCATATATATGAGTATATTGGCTGCATGTGAGTGCACCCATGTTGTGCAATGCTGTGGAGGTCAGAAGACGGCTTTGGATTCCCCTAGAACTGGAGTTAAGGACAGTTCATTGCTGCTATGTGGGTGCTGGGAATCGAACTCGGGTCCTCTGCAAGAGCAGTCAGTGCTCTGAACCACTGAGCCATCTCTCCAGCCCCACAAAATCTTCTTAAAAGTCAACCATACCTGGAATTTTTCCCCTTTATGCATCTGGGTTGATCTAAATTCAGGAGAATCTATAAAGGCACAGGGGTAAATGTTATGCAGAAAATGTCCTCGATAGGAGACCTTCATTCTGGTAACAGAAATCAAAATGTTAACAACTATGTAAATATGCAACATTTCACAAGTAACAAAATAGTCCCTATGTCACCGAGTATACTATGTATTTCATAGGAATATGATTTTGCTAAAGTTTTAAAGATTCCACAAAGAAGTAAAAGCACTTCCAGAGGCACAAATATTTATTTCAAAAAACATCAACAAACCTATCACCCAGGATTAATCCAGACATTTGACTTCTAATGGTTAACTCTATTATCCTCACTTTTATAGTTGGAGTGACTATGCAATTTGTACACTGGAGACTTCTGAGAGGAAAGGGATGCTATTAATAGCTGTACTTTAAGCTAGGCACAGCGACACATACCTGTAGTTCCAGCTACTCTGGAGGCTGAAGCCGCAGAAGTCAGCTGAGCCCAGCAGTTTGAGACCTCATCTTACCCACCAAACGGGCAAAGTAATAACGTACAGCCATGTAATGCACACTGCTTCTCCACTCAGAAAACCCACTGTCCCACAAATTATATTTTTTGATATTAAGAAAATCACCTCTGTAGCATGCATAAGCTTCTTGAATTTAAAACTTTTCCAGTTTTCACTCATGAAAACGGTTAAAACAGATTGACTATGGGAAATTTTCGTCTCAGTAAGATTCAGGGCACTAGATTCTAGCTAGCTTTTTAGGACGCTGCCTGAAAGCATCCCAAATTTCAGTTGTAAAATGACCTTTACTAACACACTGTGACTGCTTCCCACATTAGCTGGCAACATTTCTTACTATGTATTTCCTTCCTAGAGGCTATAGAATATTAAAGGCAATCAAGGAATTCCTATTTCCTTACCTGCCCTTTAGAAGAATACTCAGACGGTCATCAACAGAGGTTTTATCCTCTGTGGCATATGTCTGGCCCCTTTTCAAGGTCTGGATCATACAAAACTGCCCAGTTAACCTTCTGAACAAATCTGGAGGCACACGGAGTGGTTCAAACAATCGCCTGTAGATTCCACTGAGCTCCCTTTCAATCTTGACCTGAAAGACAGCAATTCCAAGGTCCTGTATTAAAGCAGTCCCCAAACTTTGGAGGTCTTAATATGGTTTCAAAAATAAACAAATCCATTGTTGTATTTAGGTCAATGGGGTCTTAGAGGGTAAGTAGTGATATCAATTTATATTTTATTTGCCAAAAAGGCACTTTAGCAGTTAAACTGAACTTGAAGTGCTGAGGGGAGATTGTTCACACTTCCTTCTACTGAACATGAAACAGTTGTGCAGTTTTGAATGTTGTCAAAATATGTGCCTTCCTGGCCTTAGCACCTTCTGTAAATAACACAGTACCTTTGTTTCACCAAAAGACACTACCTTAACTTTTAATTATTATAGGGAGAAAATAAGAATCACTGTGGAAACAAATGTACAAAACAATGTTGTATCTACATTAAGGATTTTATCTCCAGATAATTATTTACTACTCCAATATAGGAAAACCAGCACGCACAGCCGCAGTTGCTGCCTTACATTTATGCATTCTCAGGTAAAGTAAAAGTTCTGCTGTAGCACTTTCATCCTAAGCAAAAATGCACTCCACAGAATGGAGAGCCAGCTGATGAATACGGCTAGCTACTGGAGAAACAGAAAAGCCAAATGTCTTAATTGCCTCTTTTGTTAGAGCCTCCCAGGTCGTGCCCCATGTGTGGGTGCAGGAGTGTGTCTGGAAGCCACACTAATTGGGTACATGGAAAATTGTCCTGCACTGTGAATGAACTCTGTCCCAGAGAAAGGTCTGGCACGAACATAATGAGACCTGCAGCCCCTGACCACAAAAGCTGCTTCTACCAAATGTCAGCAGGCATGTCCCACTGTCCCACTGTGATGAATGAGTATTTGTTGTTGGTGGTGGCGCTCTAAAGTGACAGTCTGAGAAGAAACAGGAGCATAGATGCTAAATGCTCGATCCATCTAGTGTTTCAATCGCATCAATAACTTAGGAATTTTAAACTCTGGGTTTCCAGAAAGTTCTGATATTTAGGAACTGTGTTCCTTATTACTACAATGTTCTGCCTCCTCTACACCAAGGCTCTAGTGAGAAGCATTTAACATAATTTCTTTACAAACATGTCCCACTTCCAGCCCCACAGTAATGAGCACCTAGCATATATTCATGGTCTGCGCACACTCTGCATCTCAGCTCAACACCCAGTTTCTTCCTGAAGTCATCCAAATACTCTTTTGGAGGCATCTGTTTATCAAAACATTTTCTGAGCACCTTGTGTATGCCAATCATGGCCAACAGGCATGGGGGCTAAAACATTACAACAGAAACTGTGCTAGATTATATTATTGCTCCCAATTGTTTGCTGTCCCTCTACCTGCGAGGGAATTATGCACACCCTTACCCTACCCTACTCCCCACATTGGCAGGCTTGGCCATGTCACTGGCTCTGATTAATGAAGTACGAGCAGAAATGACTTTTGTTTCTTGTGAGCAGATGTTTTAGGAGACACTAGATGTTTCTCTTTGGACTTTGTTTCCTCTGCCATGAGAATGCACAGCCCAAAGTGAACCTAGTGCTTTAGCAGAGGCCCTTCAGGGTCTCTTATTCATCTTAATGAAGAAGATGACAGGAGGAGATCACAGCTCACACACAGCTGCCAGTCAACAGGTAAGGTGGGTGAGAAAAAAGCCCACCGCTGCTATGCATCACTGCGACTTTCAGACTGCTTATTAAATGGCCAACCTAGAAAACCTGACCAACAGAGTAAAGCAGCTCAGACTGAGTTGCTCTGCAGTGGTTATGGTGGAGTGGAATGCCCATAATGTAGACAATTTGTATCTCTCTGTGTGAATTGTCTTATTTTCTAATAGTTTTCTATGTTGAATATAGGATTAGGACAAGCATTGCATTGTCTTAGTTTACTGAATGTACTTAAGACAGTCAATAAAGAAGTACAGTATGGTTTCTTGGAGTCCAGCTGTAGTTGTTTTTGTTTTTTAGATAGGGTCTCATTTTTAGACCCAGGATGGCCTTGAACCCACCATGCAGATCAAGCTGGCTTCAAATTGTCAATCCACCTGTTTCAGCCTCTGAAATACTGGCATTACAAGCATACATCATCACCATGTTCAGTCTTTTTGGTTTTGGTAGTATTAGAAAACATAAGAGAAACCAGAGTTGAAAATGAAATGGCAAGTTCTGGTATTTTTGAGAATATCTACCAAAAGTGTTGATTTCTTTATAAGACTATTTTAGTCTCAGGAAAAAAAATACAGTCATTACACTAAGAAAACAGAATGAACTATATGCAAATCATTAGTATGATATGGAAGTTGCCTGTCAGTAACTGTATTACTAAGCAAAGCTATTCCCAAATAATTGAGTATCAGCAGACAAGGAAATAATCACATAATAAACCTAAGAAAGAAAATACTATTCGCGTTTTCCATCCTCTACTGATTCAAAGTTTTAAAAACTCATCTGTAAAACAGATTTCAAGTGTTTTTCCTTTCAGGCTTACATAAACAGAAAGTCCACTCTGCAGAAATATTATACTGAAAGGACTAACGAAGTAATATGTTCATTCTCGTCTGAACAAAGTACTTTAATAAAAAGTTCTATAATTAAAACCACCCTTACAAATAACTTAGTAATTACCGGTCTCTTCTTGTACAAAAGATATGAAAGATGCAAAATATTGATACCCAAGAACACAGAGTTCCAGATCACAATATCCAAGGCACATCGGTAGAGAGTGGCCCAGACAACATAAAGGGTACATCCTGTTGAATAACAAAATTAATGTTAGATATTTAGAACAGCTTCAGTAAGAAGCTAAATAAATTTAGCCCCTGTATATAATTCAGACATCTTTTAGAAATACTAAAGCTGAATAGCACATTAAATTTCAGTTTTAACTGAAAAAGAAAAGTCACAGGCCCAAATACAGGCTTTGCTGAAGAATATTTCTATAGAAAATATCTTTAACTTTTTATGTATATTAATTGAATTTTATGCATTTCCTACAGTAAGCATTAATCATATTTAGATTCCCACTTCATTCCCCATCTGCACCCCTGTAGCCAACCCACCAGATTAGAAAATATTTTTTTAATATTTTATTTATTAGTTTTATTTTATGTGTATGAGTGTATTGCCTGCATGCACGTGAGTGCACCCGTGTCGTGCAACACTGTGGAGGTCAGAAGAGGGCTTTCGGATTCCCCTGGAATTGGAGTTAAGGACGGTTCGTAGCTGCCATCTGCGTGCTGGGAATCAAATCTGGGTCCTCTGCAAGAGCAGTCAGTGCTCTTAACCACTGAGCCATCTGGGAAAAAGCCCCAAATATGAGCAGTTTCAGAAAACTAAAGTTGATATTTAATACCGGCTTAAGGTTTCCATACTGTTTCACTGGAGAGCAAATCTACTGTGTATACCAACTTCAAGTCTAATCTTATACTTACTGCAATGACTTTCCCACCTTGTTAAAATTCTTTGTAAGCATACTTCATAATGGCAATCAATTAAAACGTAATTTGTTCAATCATATACCTCCTGTAGGTGATATTTTGGAATTTGAGACAGGGACAGGGACACACACGCTGCTTAGTTGTCAGAGCTAGGATCTCATGTATTGGTCTACAGCCAAGAATGACCCTGAATTTCTGGTCCTCCTCCTCCTTTTCCTTCCTGAGTCTGGGATTGCAGACCAGCACTCTACCAACTGAGTTCCATGACCAGCCCTAGTTTTCATGTTTTATTTTTTAAAAGATTTAAAATCCATTTAAAAGATTTTTATTACTTATTTGGGGCTGGAGAGATGACTCAGTGGTTAAGTGCACCAGCTGTTCTTGCAGAGGACTTGGGTTTGATTCTCAGCACCCACATGGTGCCTAACAACTGTCTGTGACTCCAGTTCCAGGGGAATTCAACGCCTTCTTCTGACTCTACCAGCGCTGAACAACACAGATACACGTACACACACGTAGGCAACACATACATATAAAATAAAATTAATAAAAAAATAAAGGATAAAGATTTTTATTATTTATGTAGTTTGTGTGTCTGTGTGAATGTAGGCCACATGTGTCCAGGTGCCCAGAGAGGCCAGAAGATGGTGTTAGATCTCCTGACGCTCAAATTACAGTCTGTTGTGAGTTGCCTGATGTGGGTGCTGGTAACCAAACTTGGTCCTCTGGAAGAGAAGCAAGTGTTCTTAACTGCCGAGCCATCCCTCCAACACCCCAACCCCTGTTGTGTTTTTTTGATGAGTAGTCCAGGCTAGACTTGAATTCTAAATCTTTCTGCCTCAGCCTCCTAAATGCTGGAATTACAGGCATGCACTACCATACCTACTTGGGGGCATGATGTTTGATAAGTAGCAAAAGCAACCTTATAGATAAAAGCAAATCTGTATTTGTGCTTGTTTACTTAGGCTGGATTACCTGAAAGGGAATCAAGGAAATGAACTTCACAGTGTCAGATAATATTGAGGTATTTTCCAAAAGGTTTGTATAAGTTATAAACCTACTTGAGAATACCAGTATCAAGTTATCAATATTATAAAATTTGAAAACTCTTAATTTGATAAATTAAGAATATTTTATTATATAAAATAATATTAAAAATTTTTATTTTCTTGATTTACTGATGAGCTCAAATATTTTTATTTTCCTTTGGTGTTTTGAGACAGGGTCTTATGTAGTCCAGGTTGACCTTGAACTCTTAATGCAGTTGAGGGTGAGTGAGTCTGTACTCCTGGTCCTCTTGCTACTGCCTCCTGAGTGTGGGATTATATATGTGCTCTACCACACCCGGTTTATGACGTGCTTAGGGATGGCACTCAGGGCTTCACGTGTGCTAGGTAAGCACCCTTCCAAATGAGCAGCATCCACAGCCCAACTCCAACATTTTACCAAAAGTTTTTACTGACCTGAATTTTCCCTTGGTGATTATCCATTCATCAACCAGCATCTTCCTGTATTTTTCTTATCAATTATCTTGCCCTATGTAAAATATATTAATCTTCTAATTTTATGGTAGGCAGGTGAATGTATATATTTAATTTAAAATAAAATGATCACCACGATACAAATCTATCAATGCAATGTGCACAAAAGCTAGCTTTCCACATTTGCAATGTTAGACTTCATCAGAATGACTGGAGAGGGTCTGAATAAACTAATCACTTTGCTTGCCTGGGTCTGTTTCTTCATTTATAGAAGAAAGTACTGGGCTAAACAAGCTCTGATCCATTTTACCTCCAAAACTCTTAAAATTAATAACTGGGTTTGAGTTTATCCCTGCAACGTCCTGCTCTGCAATCCCAACCTCTTTAAAGGTCACATAGCCACAGGCATCCCACAAGCTGACTCCTCATACCCTTTCAGTCTCTTTCTGTACTATCTGTATCCGTAGGAACAAAAAGCCTAAACCTTCCTTTGCCCTAGTATGATAAAGTTTCCTCTCTTCTGTGCCCTTCACCAGGGTACCACATGCTCAAACTCAGAGAAAGCCTGGTCAATTTCCAAAAGCCAGCTGAACTATCATATCTACAGTATGACCTTGCTTCACCTTCCTACAGAGCCTACCACCTCTGCTGGCCCTGAGCACTGGGTATAAGCCTGCAGTGCAGACTGGATACACTGTGACTGTCCATCTGTTTTTACAAAGATGGAAACTGCCTTCCTCGGTCTTTGCCTGACATATTATAGGTGTCAAAAATGCAACTAAATAGATAATCTGGGATGAAATCACCTAAAGAATTCTTTCAATAATCATTGGCTAAAATAGTTGACTCCATTGTTTCAATATTTTGATGTGAATAAATTTAACATGCTTAATCAAACTTAATAGGGCCAAAAATACTCATATATTACATACATGTTATATAAATCTTCAACTTGAATTATTGTATATTGAAAATTGATCTCGTTCCCGATAGTGCTTCACTGGCCACTGTAAGTGTGTTTTCAAATAATAATGGTTTAGACTGTAGTGTTTACTATGTTCCAGACACTGTTCTAATACACGTTCACCTAATTCTCTCAATGCCTCTAGAAGGTAGCTTTATTTTTATTCTTCTTTGACACAAAAGGAAACTGAAGTGGTAGAAAAGTTAAATCACTTGTCCAAGTTACATAGCAAGAAACTGGATTCTCAAGTCCACACACTCATACATGAATAGATTTTCTGATATATAAAAACTTGAACAGTACACGAAAGCATATACAGTTTATCCAAATTGGGACGTGAGGGCCTGTGTTCTAAGCTAGCTGACAGATTGCTGACTGGATAGCAAAGACTCATTTCTTGGTATACTATAAACCTGACAAGGAATACTATGAATCTCCCAATACAAAGTACAGTTATAGAAGTTATGCAAGACGCTGGATAGATGGCTCAGCAGTTAAGAGTACTGACTGCTCTTGCAGAGGACCTGGGTTTGATTCCCAGCATCCACATGGTGACTAACAACCATCTGTAACTCCAGTTCCAGGGAACCTGATGCCCTCTTCTAATCGCTATGGGTACTGAATGACACAGGTGCACTTACACATACAGGCAATACACTCATACACTAAAAATAATAAATAAAATATTTTTAAAAAGAAGCTATGCAAAACTTCAGGTGTCTTACCTATAGATAACATCCCTCTAAGGAGTATCATATGGAGGTGAAGAGTGGTTGGAATCACCAAACCAATTGCAAAACAAATATTTGCTACATGAAAAACCAGATGATGTATTTCTCTCCAGTTTTCACAAGTGGGTTCATTGGAAGGCACAGGTGTAATGCTTTCTAACTCAGATGTAAAACCTATTGCAGCTGATTCTGCCAATTGGCTGGACTCTGTATAATTCATGTTGAAAATTCCTGTAAAAACAAATATACAAAAGGATGATCATAACATGACAACTGTACTTATCACTCCTATGACTGGCAGCATGGCAAATTACTTTATGAAACAAACGTTGGTAAAAAGACTTCTTCAGTGCTTATGAATTAGATAGGTTCAAAGTCCAGCTCTGTCACACACTAAATATATCCTTTTCTTTATCTGTCAGGTCTTGATAATAATCCCCTATTTGCACTATGATGAAATAAAGTATATAAAATATTCCACAGAGTGTGCAACTATTCCCAGATAAGCACACACATATGCTTATATATGAATATATAGATTCCTGACGTAAGTGGGAATTAAGCAAGTCTAAGAGACAAATACTGAGACTGACAGATCACAGCAATTACAACTGTTTAGTATAATCTCCCAACTATTCACACTGGTGTGACTGAATCCAAGCACAGGAAAAAGAACTGTGAAAAACTGATCCTCTGAATACTATAAAAATAAACACCCTCATATTTACTATTTAAAGGCTAAAAATATTTTAGAAGGCTCTAAACCATCCAATCACTGCACTACACATACCACAATGATATGTGCACATTATACACTAACAACACACATCACTAACAAATACATATTATATTAAAAATAACAGTTGCTTTGCACTCATTATGTATGTCTGAATCATTTGTCACAGGAGAGTACGTGCTGATGAGTTTTGCTTTTTTCGGTTTTTTGGTTTTGGGGGGGGGTTTGAGCAAGGGAAGGAAAAGCTGAACGTGATTCACTGCTGACCACAAGTTTCTTTCAGATTACTGCTCACTGGTCTGTGGGCACACAATATAAAGAATGATCTGACGTGATTGTGCTGTATTTATGTTTATTCACTCGTCTTTGATTAAAGGAAAACCAAAATAATAATAATAATAATAATAATAATAATAATAATAAGTTTGAGCAAGGGAAGGAAAAGCTGAACGTGATTCACTGCTGACCACAAGTTTCTTTCAGATTACTGCTCACTGGTCTGTGGGCACACAATATAAAGAATGATCTGACGTGATTGTGCTGTATTTATGTTTATTCACTCGTCTTTGATTAAAGGAAAACCAAAATAATAATAATAATAATAATAATAATAATAATAATAACAATATTTAAGCAGGCCGGGTGTGGTGGCGCACACCTTTAATCCCAGCACTTGGGAGGCAGAGGCAGGCAGATCTTAGTGAGTTCGAGGCCAGCCTGGTCAACATAGCGAGTTCCAGGACAGCTGGGGCTACAGGGAAACCCTGTCTCAAAAAAGACAAAAAAACAAATAAAAATAACATTTAAAGTTCCTTTTGTCTTATTCTCCAAGTTAAGTATTTTCATTCTCAAATAATTCTAGTTGGTACCATCTTACAAATTAAAAAGTATTAAGTGTACAATTTATATGTAGGAAGGAAGGACGTTAGACAGATATATGTGAATGGACTTCGTATATCTTAAGGTGGCAATTATAAATTTATAAATATGAATGAGTGAACCAAATATTTCTTTTTCTTTTAGTCTTTTCTTATTTATTTATTATTCGTGTTTGTGTTGCTGGGCATCAAGCATAAGGCTTTAAGCATACTAAGGAAGAACTACCACCTAGCTACACACCCACTCAAAAGACTTCTTTATATAATTCTGAAATAGCTCACAAATAGGAACAGCTGACATAAATATTTTCTGCAAAAAGAAAAATGAGAATTCAACTACTTCCCAAAAGTCTTTAAAATATTTTAATTATTTTTATTTTATGTGTATGAGTGTATCGCTTTCATGTATGTTAAGTGCACCTGTGTGTGAAATGCTGTTGAGGTCAGAAAAGGCTGTCGGATCTCCTGGAACTGGAGTTACAGACAGCTGTTAGCTGCCACGTGGGTGCTGGAAACTGAACCCAGGTCCTCTGCAAGAGCAGCCAGTGCTCTTGGTCACTGAGCTATCACTCCAGCCCCCAAATCCTTAACTGATAAAAATACAGTCCTGTCAAGACGTATAATACTTTAATAGCTATATTTACAGTGTTTGCTTTTGAGCTTCAACTCAGAATTCACCTCCCAATGTCTACAAGTCAGAATGGCATTAAATGTCCTCTATGACGCATAAGCAAATTAACATGTAAGTCAGTAACAACCAGCACTGCAAACACACTTTTGGATGAGCTTGTACTCCCACTGTCCTAATTTGTTCCAACTATCCAATGTCCTCAGGAAGCAGGGATGATGTGCATTCAATCTTCATACTTCAAGGCCTAGCCTTTAGAGATCTGCCACTGAGGAATGGCCAGATGGGCTGGCACAGAAACAACATTTTTTAAAATTTCACTTTTTAGTCATAAAGACTTTCCTGAGGTTGAGTCAGCTTCTATACCACAAGCCACCAGGGAGCTATGCCTTGGAAAGTTGCTTCCCTCCTCAATTTGTTTTGCCCTTGGACTAGCGGCAGCTGAACTACATGGTCTTGAAAACTCATTCAAGTGTTAATGCTCTAACAGATTCGTGTAATAAATTGACACTCCTCATAGCACTTGATCATATTATACCTGTACTGCCTACTAATCCACAGTAGTTCATTCTCAGGTTTTGGAAAGTTCTAAAAATGGCATTAAAAGCATCCATTTCAGCTCACAGAAAATGGATGGAAAAACTACAATTCACTGCCTCAAGAACCAGAAAATATTGATAAGTATAAAATATTTATTTGTGTGTGGGAACGTTGAAGTCAGAGGACAACATGCCAGAAAATCTGTCCTTCCACCATGTGGGTACTACGGATGCAGCTGGAATCATCAGGCTTGTGGGCAAGTAAGTACCTTTACCTGTTGAGACGTCACACCAGTCTTAATAGCCATTTTCATTTAAAGGACCACGTTTTGATGCATTACATCTTATTAAAGGTGTACAAATTTCATACTGCTACATAGATACACTAATATTTAAAATGTCTATTTTCAAGTGTTTCTCACCTGCCATAAAAAAATCAGTTAAATGATTTTTTTTTTTTTTAATATTTAGTCATTAGTCAAACAGGCTTGGGCTTACTTTGATTATTACTTAACTGAATTTAGGTAGCTTACACTGAACTGCCATTATACAGAGAATGAATGGTGGATTCTAGTGAGGTTAGATTGGTGGGTGAACGGGTAAACTTTCAGATTAATTGACTAAATCAAAGAAAGTTATCTTTCTCTCATTAGAGCCTCGAAGTCTAGTTCCTTCAATTACTTATAGTAAAATCGTGCCTATCTATTGGTTTTCAAGTAGGTGTTTGCAAGTCTAAATAGCCAACAGTAAACTTTGACCAGATTACAGAAGTGAACATAAACACCAACGAGTAAAAGCCGTGTTGGCAGACTCGAGTCCTTCTGTTACTTTAATTGAATCTTTGCGCATTTTCGTGGCAAACGGCGTTGCGTTGCTAAGGATCTTTTCGCACTTACGGCAGTTTCTGGGATTTGTCTGGCCACAGCCCGTCTCCCAGAGGCCGAGGAAGGAGGGCGCGGAGTGGACGGGCGATTCTCGGCCGCACCCGCCCGGGACCCGCTCACCTGGCTCTTTAAACGGGGCCGACGTCTACTCTCTCCTCCCGGACCGAGGGCTCGGCGGCGGCCGGCGCGGAGCGGGACCGGAGGTCTGCAAGGACGCGGCGCGGGCGCTCCGGACTAGTGTCTCCGGCGGCCACAACTTTCCCTCCCGCGCAGCCCGCGTCCGACTCCTCACCCGGTGTCCCCGCGCGGGCCCGGCTTAAGTTTGGGCGGCGGCCCGACGGGCCCGCGGCAGGTCCCCGGCGGCGCGGTGCGGACCGGCTCCCGGCTGCAGCCACTTTGACTAAAATAGGCATCGCGGCCGGCCGGGGCGCAGCGCGCACGCGCAGCCCGAGGACGCCCCCGCGGGTG